GAACCCTAAGGGGAACACCCAAACCCTGACGCTGCGTTTAACCCGGGCGGGTAAATCAGGCTTGTAAGTGCCTGGCTGGCTGAAAGCCTCCGGGTCGGGACGGCGAGTCAGAGTGTGTCAGAGCACGGAAACTGGGGTGGAGAGACGGCTGACAGCGATTCATGGGTGGGTGGAGACGGAGCAGGGACACGAGAGAAGCAGGCCCGGGTTTGGATAAACCCGTCTTCACCAGAAAGCCTGCGCAGAGGGAAGCGACCCCGCGCTGCCTTGCCCCTGCCTTCCTTCCCGGGCGGGCGGCGGAGGTGATGCCGGGTGGGAATGGTGCTGGCAGAGGGTGGCACGGGGAGCCCGAGGGTTTCTGAGCTGATGTGGGAAAACCAGCACTGACTGTTTGTCCATCCCAGCCTGAGAAGCATGGACACTCGCGGCATGGTGGCCATCAGAAGATCTTACCTCGTTACATAGTGCTTCAGTAGACACCTCGCTTTATCTGGAGAGACACCAGTGATGTCCTGGAGGTACGGGCAAGTGCTGGGGGAGATGCCAGGCGGACCTGGGACACCACTGTCCTGGCAAAGGTGTTCAATGTGCCTTGGTGACCCGGCCGGAGCCACTGAGCCAGGACACAAGCACCGCTGGCTGGACCCAGGGCTCCGGGTTCCTGCAGCAGCTGTGGCCGGGTGGGTGTCACACGTCCCCGCCATGTCTGAACATCCCCTCTCAGGGGGAGAAATGTCTCAGGGGACTTGTCAGAAACACCTGGTGTCCCCAAGGCTGGCTGGTGTCCCTTGGGATGCCGCGCGGGGAGCTCTGCTGTGCTGTGCTCCCGGCAGCTCCCGGTGTTTGAACCACGTTGTCGGCACGGCTGTGAGCAGGGATGGAGGGAGCTGCCCTGAGAACATGCTCACGTCCCCACGGGAGTCACGGGGACGCGTGGAGGGCCCGGCAGCCCTGGGGACACCCTGGCCAGCACCCGGCGCGGTGGAGGTGAGCAGAGCCCGACCCTCTGCCCCCTCCTCTGCACGCACGGCTGGGC